ATGTAATCGATTTTTTATTACTTCTTTTTTGGCGCTTTAGGTTGTTCATTGTAGGCTTTGTGTTTGTAGGTAACTAGCATCAGTTTAAAAAATTGCAAACCGTTCATTGTTGAATTATAGGTTTTTAAAGAATGCAGCTAAGATATTTTAAACAAGAAAACCTTTAAAAAAAGGAAGCAGCGCTAGAGATACATTTTTCTCCAATATTAGGCCTACCTGCGACCTGTAAGGCCTATTGTGTTTGTCAGCTATCTATATCTGCACCCACTCTCCTATCCTTGTACACTGCACCAACTTGTACAGGTCTTTGATAGCCTGGAAACATAGTTCTTCCGGTTTTAGCCTTATTTTCCCAAATAGAAAATGTCGCTTCCGATCCAGAGCCTCGCAGTGACATATTATGTGCTGTTTCAGGATCTTTATCACAGTGCAAACTCTGTGATAATTCAAGGCAAAGACTTCCTTCCCGGTGAGTGTGTTCATATAGTACTTGACAGCCGTATGTTCTGTCAAAAAACCTGTTGTAATCCGCACTTTATTCCTGCTGAGCATTAGCAGTTTCTTTGTGGCTTTAAAATTTGGTCATTGGATGAAGGCTTTGCTATGCCTGTGCTACCTTACAACGACAAGCATGCTTAGCGGTGACTGGCGCCTTTCATTCTACGCCGTATATAAAAGCTATGGAAACCCTACTCGACTTACCTCCTCTTCAAATTCTTTTGGAGAGAGAGGCGAGATGGGCTACATATAGGTTTCTAAATATGGCACGAGAGAGCCAAGGAACAATCATGTTCATACAAAACCGACTAGTAGACGAACTACAATCGGATGAGATTCTGGGAATGGTCTCGGATCTCACACCATCAATCCAACTCTTGACGTGCACCTACAACGTCCTGTTTCCGAATAGGGACGAATGGGATAAGCCGAGAAACGGCTTATTACATGCGGAAATGTGTTGGTATACGGACGGATCCAAAAACGATAAAGGATCTAGCGCAGGAATTTACTGCAGCAGTCCAACGACTGAGATTTACCACAGTCTTGGAAAACACACAATTTTCCAAGCTGAGCTATATGCTATTGAAACATGTGTGCAACTGCTGGTAGAACAGCAATACACCGGGAAAACAATAAGCATATTTTCGGATAGTCAAGCCGCGTTGAAAGCACTTGAGGCAACGAAAAGCACGTCTATGACGATTCTTCATTGTAAGAAACTACTCAATATATTAGGAGATAGGAACAAAGTGTCGCTAATATGATGTGAAACGTGTGTAACATGCGTGAAAAAAACTTTAAACAGAAAAAAATTGTGAATATGGCGAATTAAAGTTATTATCGAATTTGTCCTAAAAACGTAACGGGTCAAAGTTAACCCGTGAAATTGAAGGAAAAATTGCGGGCGCGGTACCTTCTAAGTAACCGCGCTCATTGACGAGATAATAAACTGGTCCGATTAATTTACGGAACTGTAGGAAGTTCAAAGCGCGCCAGTATGTGCCGCCGCTCAAAGCACGAGCGCATCGAATTTTTCACGTTCCAGAAGCACGAATAATGACTCTATAGAGAGTAGAGACGAATGGAGTCCGTGTGGAGATCTCCGGCTACCTTTTTAATTTTAACTAAATGCCATATATGATTTCTCGTGCGTCAATTTTTTTCTAAATACACGAAGCAATGCATTTATTTAGTAGTGAGAGGATGATAGAGAATACAAACAAAATGAAAAACTAAAAAAAATGAATATTCATACTAGAGAGGAATGTAATGTAATTTCTCTCTCTCCAACGAGAGGATACATAACAATGGCAGTTACTGTAGTGTAGGGTTCAGAACCGGGACTCGAAATTATTAACTCCCGGTTCTTTCGGTACTTTCGGGACTCGGTAATAATAATTAAAAATATATTTTTGTTACGTGCGAAAGACTTGATACTTTCTAGCTGTCGAAATCAAAATCTTCTTAATAAGTAGTGATGCTATCTCTTACTCTTCTTACTTCTGAAGTTTCTATAATGTTTATTAGCAATTATTGAAGTTTAAATATGTTATTTTATTATTTAGTCTAATATGGCTGAATGTAATAGTTATATTTTTTTGTGTTATGTTTTTACAGGCATTTGCGTCTTTAATTGAAAATGTTAAGTTTTTTTTTCTAATTTCGTTAAGTTGGTTTCGTGGTTGGTTGATGTTGTTTGATGTAATTTTTAAGCTACCTATATATTTTTTTTTTTTTGGCTTGTGTTCTTTATTTGTGGTCATGTTTACTTTCTCATGACTTAATAATTTGATATTATTTTCATTTGAAACTCAATTTTTTAGCGGTTTTACTTTTGAGAACCATCCCTTACTTGCTAATTGACGAACTCCACAATCGTTGAACGAAAATATTTTAGTACAGTTCTGGAAACTCTAATACTACCAATAATTAGGGTTCAGATCTTTCCTGAATCTAAGGGTACCCCAAATACACAACAATAAAATATACGGAGGGTACCGCTTAAATTCTTGTCCCGATATTGAAGGATGGCTATAGAATTTCAATGCATTTACTACATAAGTCTATCCTTGTGTTGTAGGAGGTTTGACTAAACAAGGATGAACTTATGTCTTGAAATCAATCGACTCCATTTTCTGTCCTTCAATACTGGGACGTAAATCCTCTCATTGCTCTTATGGGGAGGCCGTCGTATATTTTATTAAAACGTATTTAGGGTACCCTTAGCGGTAGATCCTTCACGAGCCTGTCGATTGATTGCCAAGTCCAGAATTACTTCTAGCGCAGCTTGCGCTGTTTGTTCCTTGCTCCAGTTGTACCTAGATCTGCTAATCGTTGTATTTTTGTGAGGCTTTTTTTATTAGTCTATTTAAGTACCGCTTCCCACCATACTAGGGCTCCATAGGTGACGATTGGTCGAACTACAGCAGTGTTCATCCAACCGTACCGTACCGTCCGGTCCTTGCCTCTAGAAATCTAAAAAAAATAGTTATAAAATTAGCTTGACTGCAATAATAGTACCATGCACCTCTAACGGTAATCTTCTGCCCGCTGGAACGCGTACCGTCGTTTAGAAGTCGCCCTGTATAACATTTTCAATGGTTATTAAGCTAATGTACAAACGAAACGAAGTAAACAGCATTCCAGAAAGGCGGCTAATTTATTAGACCTGCATTAAAGTGTTGATTTTATAAATATTAAATATCTGCCGTTTTACGCGAAGAATGCATACATATACCCTGGCCCGAAGCCGGCGAAAAAAAGAAGCGCTAACCGCCTCAACTCGTTTCCGATGTAAATTAGTGGTACCTGTGGTACGGCCAGTGGCGGATCAAGGTAAACATTTTAAAATGCTCTGGGAAGTTTCCAAAAACTTACCTTATTGCTATAAATTATATTATCAATTTGTAATTAATATAGAGATGTCTTATTATCTTCAGACTCAGGTATGTTTCATCGAATACCGGCAATTCCAGAACCAAGCGTTGTTACCACCAAAAAGAAAGCATGGGAAAATAGAACAAATAGTTTTTTAGATTACATCTACAAATCAGTAAATTTTTTATATCGTGTTAATATCCGGCTAAATATCTCAAAGACTTTGTCAATGACTCTTTGACTTTTGTCAAAGCCCTGAGACTGTATGATATGAGTTATAACTCGTTATAACTCAAGAAAGGGGAACACACAATAGATCTGTAAGGTCGTGGCGATTTACCCCCCTCTCAAACATTCTACTGGCTATACTGTACTTTAACTGGCTATACTATACTGGCTTTAACAAAAGCCAGTATCTGAGACGGCTCCAGAGAGGCCAGCTCCCTATCCTCGACATCAGCCGTACCAAAGCTCATGGCACGAATTGTTGTCGTCTTGGCGCACTCACTGATAAGGTATTCTGGTGTTTCCCCATTTTCCTCACAGAATCTCCATTCGCCGTTGTTTCTCAGCTTCAGCCTACTGAGGTGTTCGTTGAGGAGACAGTGTCCTGTTAGAAACCCCGTGACAATCCGAAGATTGTTTTTACTTAAATCAAGGAAAACCTTTGATTTTTCTCGGTCATAAGCTCTGAGGAACTTTTTCGAGGGTCTTAGATGGAGTCTTCCAGATTCTTCAGTTCCGCTTTCAGTTGGTTCCCGTTTGGAAAACAGAACGGTTCTGGTTCAGTTAATAGGGGAGTGTTCGCTCCTTTTCTAGATAGATTATTTGCCTTATATACCTTGGTGAGCAAGCACCCAGAGTAGGAAGACTTTATTTTCTTTGCCTAATTTGTTGAGCTTCTCTAGGCATTCTTTGACCAACTTCGAATTGATGGTTACTTAATTGAGTTGATCGCGTTTAGTGCTGCTTGACTATCAGATAGGATGGCAATTTCCTGTTTTCGATAGTTTCTATCTAAGATAAATTGTACGCATCTTTCGATCTTTCGTTTTATGAGATGTCTAAAATCTTAAAGTTTCCTTGTCTTTATTTTTCTTATCATCACCCCGGCACTCATATTATTCAGCTATTTATTTTTTTAATAAAAGTACGTACTAATTATGTTCTACCAACTTCCTGACAGTATGCTAGTTTATTATTCTGAAAGTATTATTCTGGGATCTTTTCACAGTGGACCCAAGAACTATTAAAAAATTAAATTAAATGATTAAACACTTTTTACCACTTATGCACCAGCCGCCACTGGGTACCGGGCAGTACGACGGCCGGTCCAGCTCGTTAGTTAATGTTGCTATTGGTCGAAAGAGACGCCATGATAAACGGCGGGATTCGTTGCAGATTTATTTTAATTAAAAGTTACCAGACGTGCATAATGGAGTTGATTTTTCAAACAGCGTTGCATAGATTATAGATGGGTCTGAGAAAGAAAAATTTAATATTTTAGAAAGGTGTGAAATACATAAAAATCTACTAGATGTCTAGCATTATAACAATATCGTAACAATAACGAGAGTATAGGGCTGTTTATTCATAAATTATAAATCTTTTTTTTGTTTCAGGAACTTGTTACATTGGAAAAAATATGTCAACCTTGTTCTACCTTGTCGTACTGCCGTACTTCATTTATTTCTTTGCCGGTGCCTTCTTGCTTACAATCGGCTGGGTTCTGGTGCTCAGAAAACCGAAACCTATCAATGCTGTGTCGGTACCATTAACTCAAGGACCGCCAAGAAAAGAACGGGACTTTTTAGGCGCGTTGGCAACTCTGTACGCGTTTTCAACCCTTTGCGTCATGTCCAGTTTCTATGTGGAATATGAAAATAGGTAAGTTTCAATATTGATATTATATGATACAATATTAATATTGATAATTTAATACGAATTTCATTACTTTGAACTTCTTGATTTTAAAATTGAATGGATCACGTCAAATTTTCAGCCAGCTGCTATTTATATAAATCGGATTGTAATTTCTAAAACTAAAGCTTTGTCGTATAAAAACTCGCTGCAGCCTTTTGTTCTTGGTACCACCATTGACGTCGTAAAATCTGTAAAATTCTTAAGGCTTGTTGTAGACAATTCTCTAAAATGGGACATGCATATCGATGCTTTGTCGAAAAAATTATGCTCTGCCTGTTTTCAGTGGCCGATACAGAGGGGGGGCCATGGGTCCCGGGCCTCCCCTAAAATCTGTAAAGTGGGTTAAGTATTAGGCGTTTGGGATAAAAATGGCGCCCTAAAAAGCATATTCTACATTACTTTTTATTTTGAGCCCCCCCTAAAATAAATTCCTGTATCCGCCCCTGCCTGTTTTGCATTAAGATCTGTTTCTAAGGAGCTTAACTTGTCAGTGGCTAGAACTGTTTATTATGCACTTTATGAGTCGCACCTCAGATATGCCCTTCCATTCTAGGGTACGTGTTGTGCGACTCAATTTGACGGCATTTTCAGGCTCCAGAAGAGAGCTGTTCGATATTCACTGGGACTAAACAACAGAACTCATTGGCAGGACTTTTTTAAAAAATTAAAAATATTAACTCTTCCTTCCTTATTTATATTTGAATCCGTTTGCCTAATACGTAAGCATGTATCAGCTTCTCAAGAAAGGCCATCTCACACTTATCCACTCAGGAACGCGGAGCAAGATCTTTATCTACCTACCCCACGCTCAGAGTTAGTTAAAAGTTCAATATACAACTCGAAAAAAATGCGCCCATCACCTGCCGTTTGAAATCAAATCCATATCATTTTCTTCATTTCGCAAAGCATTGAAATCTTATTTACTAGACAAGGCTTTCTACGCCGTAAATGACTTATATTTTGATAATCGAATTTGATCTTGTAAACACTGGTCTAATATTTGCTATTACTATATTTACAATAAACTTACTAAATATTTTTGAATATTACTTTTATTTCTTTATTCTTTGACATTGTAAACATTTATAAATGTTTATTTTAAACAATAAGACTGACAATGTAATTTGTATACTGGTTTTGTATTCTCTTTTGTTTGTTTACTTTACCTTTGCCTACAAATTGTAATTTTTTTTGACAATACTGGATATTAAATTACCAGCAGCCGCTAGAAACTAGTCAAAAAGCAAATCGAATTTAAATGGTAGCATTCAATATCAAGCTTCAATGAATGTTAGCATTTGCTAGTAAAAGTTTGTTTCAAAATTAGCTATTGAACAAGTCAGCGAATGTGAGCTTTTACTAGTAATTTTTCATTCACTGATCTATAGCTTTTTCTCTAACATATCTAATGATCTAATAAAAAAATATTTTTTTGCAGGAAAAGATGGATATCGGGTGAACAAAAGCCCTCGTTGTGGTTTTTCCTGTTTCTGCGATATTTTATGTCGTTGTTTGTCGGCATCAGTTCCATATTCTGGATTTGGTCGAACAAATCGGCGCAAGTATGGAAATCGGTCTTGAAACGGCTCGGGCCACGATCGCAACACAATAAGAACGCTCCCACAGTTCTTAGGTAAGTTATCAAATATTCAGTATAATATATTAAAGTAAATATTTAGTAAGCGTTCAGCGACCCAATGTGAGTACATAATAATTAGTTAAAATCCTCTACTGAGGGGCAGGAGACTCAAACAATCACTTATACAAGGCTGTGAGGTTGAGTCTCCTGCCACTGATTTTAACTAACAAGTAAATATTGGTCAATATAAAGTGTAAAAATATCAAAAGCAAAGAATCAATGTAAAAATGTTTATAGGGAACATTCTCGATTGTGCTCATGCGTGCTCTTATAAGGGAATGTTCCCGGTTCCTCATCAAGAATGTTTGTTAAATTTTTATCAGAGATCCTAATGATATTTTGCCTTACAGTTTACTATTGAAAGAGCTATATGATTAGATTTCCGCGAATATCTGCGAAACCGTTAAAAATTTAGAAACACATTACTGCATTAATACAAAAAATGTTCGCTTTTTAATTCTGCATCTAAAAGGAAAATAATATACAGGGTGTTGCATTTAAAATAATGAGATCGAGCATTTTAAATATCGTAATGTTGTCCACGTCATAAAAATACCCTGTATGAGATAATGTTAGTTACAAATTTATCACATTACTTTTATTTGGAACACCCTGTATTCAACAAAAGATTTCTAGAACATGGACCTTTATAAACCATGCAACATAACAATATAAAAAAAAACTTTTTTCATAGCTTCAACGACAATATTGGACTTTCCCGCACTAATGGGCCACCCTGTACATATACGAGGTGCTACAAATTCGGGGTACGATCATTGGTATCTCGGCAACCGTAATAGATACGAACATGGTAAAATTGGGGTAAAGTTGCGCTTTAGGATGCTGACCAAGATGCTATCAATAAAGTTTTAAAAATTTCAAGGATTGCTGAGTTTTTCGAAAAAAAAAAAAACGAATTTTATGAAAATTGATTTTATTTTTTCCTGTCGTTAGTTTTTAGAAAATCAAAAAACTAATTGCACATTCTCATAGCCATTTTATTAGGGCTATATGACAGTATTTTCAGATTTTCAAATTAGCTGATAATTTGTGAGATACGAGATACAGAGGCCAACTTAATTTTTTTAAATATGGACCTGCATTTTTTATTTCAGATTTTGAAAGAACTCGGTCTCCTGAGTGCAATGAAAAAAATAAAATTGATTTGCAAAAATATCCGTTTTTTCCAAAAAACTCAGCAATCCTTAAAATGTTTAAAACATTTTTCATGGCATCTTGGTGAACATCCCAAGGCGCAACTTTGTCCCAATTTAACCATCTTCGTATCTATTGCGGTTTCCGAGATACCAATGCTCGTACCTCGAATTTGTAGCACCCTTAGTTACCTCGTCAATCATTAACAGTAACTATAATAGTTAATAATATATTATAACTATAATAGTCTTCATTTTTATCCGCACAATTATTACTTTACATAATATTTCCCCCGGTAGTATCTAAAGAAAATTATTTTTCGTAACTGAAACATTAACAAAAATAAAAAGAGCATAATCTCAAAGTCTTATTTTTCTTTTAGATATCCAGTGACGCATCATTCTGGAATGATCGTCCCACTAAACAGCATTTCCAGACAAAGTAGTAGAGTGCATTCTCATCGGAAATCATCCAGAAGCCATCATTTACGAAGTGGAAGTGAGACTATAATTTAAAAGAAACAATTTGCATTTAGCAAACAAAGTGCAAATATCAAAAGATTTTTCATTGATACGTAAATACATTTACTAAATTATTTTATAGATTTTTTTATAAACTTGACTTTTTACATTTGATTTTTGGAATAATTTTAAAATGAATCTAATGCACTTATAGACGTGTTAATTGTAAATAATTAATTAAGGTATTAGTGTAAGGCTGTCTCAGGCATGCTCTTTATGTTGTTGATACATCTAGAACCAGACAATATTTTCTTGCCACAATGATCATGGATACTAATAAAATTAGTTCAAAATCTTCCAGTAAGTATCACATTTTGAGGCTATTTCTGAAATCAAGTACTTAGTTTGTGACGAGATTAGTTGGATTTAATCCTAGATGACTTCTTCACAGCTTATTCAATACTCAGTTGCACAACTTTCTGAGGATCGAGACAAGGTATTTTTTATCTAAAGGCGTGCACACACGAAAGAAACAGTGGCAAACAACTTTGCAAACGTTAAAACAACCTCTACATTTCGCAAAACATTTCTGGAAATAGTACGATAAAAATATAAAAAAATTGGCGCCGGGAGGCACGTATAGCCGCCCATACTAAAATATGTTAATAAAAAGTTGGTAGGCAGTTCTTTCAGTTTCAAAATAAAGGAATTTTTCCAATCTTTTCAAAAGCTGCGACTTTGACTGATTTTGATGTTATTACAAATTTTGTTGCAAATATTATTCCTAATCTTAAATTGAAAACCGCGTTTCGCTAGCTACTGTAATTTTGGAGCTCTGATTTTTTAAAATTTTTAACCCCCTCCCATACCCCCTTACCAACCCCCTATCCCACCAAAAACTAATGGCCAGATTCTCGGGTGCCACAATATTTTTGTGCCAAATTTGGTTAAAATCGCTTTAGCGGTTTTTGAGTTATCGTGTTACAGACGGACAGACATACACCATAAAAATATTTTGTATTTAGGTGATTTATGACCCAAATAACTCATTTTGAGTGAAATTAAAAAAACTTTTTTTTGCCGATCTTAATAGCCTATCATACTTATTGGTAGGGTCGTACTAAACGGTACTATTTTGTGAAATAGCACGAGGCAATCAATGTAAAACGTTGTTGTTTGACAAGTTTGTGGAACAAAATATACACAAAATTATTTAAAAAATCGTCTAATTATTTATTATTTCTGGTTATGGTAAAGTAACATTTATACTGTAGTCTGTAGCTAAGTTTAGTTTGCGAATTTGGTTTTGTTTTCCGAGTTTTAATTGTCTAAATCCCTGCATAATAAATTGATTGGATTTATATCAAACCATGCTGGGTGCTAATGAAGGTATCGTTTACAGATTTCTCTGAAGAACAATAAAGGAACATTGCTTTTAAAACATGTCCGTGGACCATACTTTTGTTGATATCGGGTCAGTCAATAATTTTCCCAATCAGCTCGATATGTTGATAATGTTACCAGTATTACTCATCAAGCAATACCACTCTTATATTAATTAACCGTAAACAAACATATCATATACAATTTCATATACTACTTCATTATAATAAAATTAAATCATAAAAATATTGTAATTAATTATATTCCTGCAGTTTAAGTGAAACATTTTGTTTCTAAATATCTACTATACATATTATAAACGCGTGTTCAAATATTAATTTTGTGGAATATATATCAACATAAAACGAGATGTAATTTACGAAATATCATCGTAACAACAGCTATTTTAGAAACGTCTAGGTTTACTTATTTCACTGAGATTTGAGAAAAAAAATCCTTTGCCTCGGATACAGATACAGCCACGTTTTGGAAATGGCCCAAAACAAAACAAAATTGAACGAGGCAACAAAAAAGGCCAAAAAATCCCCCCATGCCTTCCTCAGGAGTAGTTTTCAGGCGCTTTGAAGAATCGAAGGTAGGTCGAGGCAAACCGAAATGGAAAGACAACTGGAAATAAATCGAAATGCGTTAAAGTTGGGCGACGAAATGCTATGTTTAAGAGATATAGACTTTTGAAAATTCTAAAATAAGAAGGTAAATATTATGATATCTTCCGAAGGTTTAACTTATAATTTATTATTCAAGAAAATTTTATTATAATGTGAAATTGTCATAACATAACACGATGCCCAGTTCGGGTTCTTTTTCACTTAATTTTTACTTACCCGAAACAGCGTTACGTAACACAAACTTCGTACCCGTGAAGTTTATAGTTTCAATAACTGCAAAATAAAAACCAAAATACTTAAATGTTATGACATAGCCATGATTTCAATATTATTTCAATGCCATCAACATGAACGGTAACCGGGACCGCGTGAAATAAAGTAAGCAAGCGCTGCTGTCAGAATTTTAAAAAATCGGTTGAAAGTTGAAATGCACCAAGCCTATACAGGGTGAGTCTTAAATAAGCGCAAATATTTTCAGGGGTGGTATATTTCGACACCAGGAACACGTCTATGAGTTTTTTTTCGCAAAAAAGATGTTGAAACTCGTGCATTTCTTCTAAATTCCCTGTATATTTTTCAAAAACTTTTTAGAACTGCCGCATTAGACCGCAAATTTTCCCACGGTATAATTTCTTAATCTCTGATTTTGCCATAGTTACGGCTTACTCCATGGTTAAGGCACTAAAAGGAATGCAAATACAGAAAAAATCTGGTGGCTCTCAAAATTTTTCCAAAAAAAATTTTTTTTTTAATTTTCAAACTTAAATAACTCGGTTATTTTGGACTTATCTGAAAAATGGTAAAGAGAAAATATGTTTCTTTTATCGAGATCTACCAGCACTGAAAATATTTGCACTTATTTAAGACTTACCCTGTATAGCAAGCTGTATTGAATAAGCTGCGATTACTTTATACTATATGGTTGTTTCTAGAGATAAAAGTTTTTGTATATATATTTATAAGAAATCAATATAAGATTGCCTTATGTAAATAGACTGTGATGAAAAGTGTATACAAAATAATATTTATTAAACTAATTTACGTATGGTAGATATTAGCACCTGTAACAAATGTCAATTAAAATAATAACAAAACATGCTCTGAATTAAATTGAATAATTAATTATGGGTTACATTTAGTCATAGAAAAACATATCATCCAAGATATTGGATGATACGCTACTCTTTTATGCAGTCTGTAATTATAACATGACAATGTAATCCGATAATTTTAATAATGTACTCCTTCAGTATTTTTCATGTAATTAATTTTCTTATAGGAGAGGTTCTCATAGACTTTGTAATTATTTTTTTTCTTGCTTTCTTTATAACATGTATGAAGCTTAAAATCTTTTCAAAGTAGTACTTTCTAGTTATATTTTTGTATCATTTTGCCTACAGGTATTTGTACATTTTATGATCTGATTTTTATGCCATTTTTTATTATTGTTAAGAAACTTAAATATAAAAGAAATAACTGGCTATGGAAAGCGTTATGTAAAAGTGCCATAGTATGTGGATTTTGTACAATTTATGTAACCCTTTTATTAGTAAGATGTATGTGTTGTCAAATTTGTGATATATGTTTTAGTTTTTTATTTGTACATTAAATATAATTTGTTTACAATATGGTAGTTTTATTTCATATACTTAGACCATTTTATTTATATAGCTAGAAGTTATAAAATCTGCTGAGTAAAGAAAATGAAGGTCAATGGGAAAACATGATATAAGCGCCAATTTCTCAATTTCTTTAATTTTCTAAGTCGTTTTTATGACTTAAGTCTATATTTTTGACATATAAATCTTGATGATTTGCAAGTTAAGGCGGTAAAATGACTTAAATCGATATACAGGGTGAGTTTCTTACGATGTTCTCTATGGGTATCTCGGAAATTACTGGAGATAGAGAGTCGGTTAAATGGGGAAAGAATTGCAGTTTTGTGGGGTCATAAATATGCGCCTTTCAGATTTTTGAAAAAGTTCATGGCTTACTAGATATTTCGAAAAAAACAAATTTCGGCTATTTTAAAAATTGTCCCTAATTCCATTATAAGCTATTTTAGACAAAAAGTTTTCATACAAAAGTTGTAGATAATCACATCCTTAAGGAGATTTTGTCCTCCGCTTTTTTTTAAAGCCTGTCATTTTTGACATATGATACAAACATATGTTTTTTAAAATGGAAACCATAGTTGGCCATGACTTCATTAAAAGCGCCATTTTTTAAGGTTTTTAGCGATATAAGCTATAATATGTTTTCTTCGAAAAATTACTGAGTTATAGCCAATTCTTACATTTTTAAACAATTTCACTTAGTTAACCATGGAAACAAGTTCAATCGCCGTTGATCTCAGAAATGTGAAGCTGTTGTGATAGCTTCACATTTTTGTAAATTAAAATAAACAAAAATTGTAAATATGAATTTTTCAAATGAAGAAAAGCGTGTAGATACTCGCGCATCAATAGAGTGGTTCCAATATGGTGGGTTAATCTGCGGTATGGTTAACAATAAGGTTTACAAAAGAACTTATGAATTAAGAGAGGCACTTGAAGTGGCGGTACGAGAGAAGTTCAATTAAGTCGACCGGTCCTTCTGTGAGAATAGGTAGTAATTCAGTTTTAAAAAGATGCAACTCAAAACAATAACGGATTTTTTGAACATTTTCTAAAATAACTTAAAGTGTATGAAGTGATATTATTTTTTTAAGTTTTAGTTTGTATAATGTAAATTGTAAAAACCCTTTTAGTAATATATTCTGGCTTTTTATAAGTTATGAATCATAACAGAATAAGAATACCATGCAATCTAAGTGAAATTAGTCAAGAAAGATAAGAATTGGCTAAACTAAATTTAACTTTTCTAACATGTCTTCAAAAACCGTTCTCTAAAAAATGTAACATTCACCGGTCAACGTATCCTCGAAAATGTACGGTCAAGAAAAGTTGAAACAACAACCCTACACGCTTTTCTTCATTTGAAAAATTCATATTTACAATTTTTGTTTATTTTAATTTACAAAGTTTGGATGTGACAGCTTCACATTTATGAGAGCAAAGACGATTGAACTTGTTTCCATGGCTAAGTGAAATTGTTTAAAAATTATAAGAATTGGTTATAACTCAGTAATTTTTCGAAAAAAAAAACATATTATAGCTTATATCGCTGAAAAGCTTAAAAAATGACGCTTTTTATGAAGTCATGGCTAACTATGGTTTCCATTTAAAAAAAACATATGTTTGTGTCATATGTCAAAAATTACAGGCTTTAGAAAAAAACGGAGGACACGATCTCATTAAGGATATGTGATTATCTACAACTTTTATCTGAAAACTTTTTGTCTAAAATAGCTTATAATGGAATTAGGGACAATTTTTAAAATAGTCGAAATTTGTTTTTTTCGAAATATCTAGTAGGCCATGAACTTTTTCAGAAATCTGAAAGGCGCATATTTATGACCCCACAAAACTGCAATTCTTTCCCCATTTAACCGACTCTCTATCTCCAGTAGTTTCCGAGATACCCATAGAGAACATCGTAGGAAACTCACCCTGTATGTAATTACGTATACCCTCAAGTCAAGACAACCAGAATTCAATTTAAGTGCCAGGGTATTATCCAGAGGTATTATCACAGACTAACTTAGTTTGTGGTATTTTACAGGGTGTCCTAGAAATAAGTGCAAGTATTTTAAGGGATGGTAGATCTCGATAAAAGAAACATATTTTTTCTTTATCGGTTTTCGAATAAGTCCAAAATAACGGAGTTATTTTACTTTGAAAATTTCCAAAAAAATGATTTTTTACTAAAATTTTGAGAACTACTGGATCTTTTCTCGATTTTCTTTCTTGTAAATTAAATCTACTACCTATGTTGCCATATTATCAAGAAATTATGTTTTTTAACTAAACACTGAAAAAAAAATTTTTCGCGAAAAAAACCTCATAGGCAAAGTCATAGGTGTGTTTCTGGGGTTGAACTATACTACCAGTTAAAATACTTGCGCTTATTTCTGGGACACCCTGTATATATTTAAAGACTACAAGCTTTATTTGAAAATAAGTTTAAACCACCCTGTATACAGACAGTGGCGTACCCAAGGGGGTGGGGCGAAGGAGGCGACGGTCCCCTCCTCCTGCCTTTAGCGCTCGTCCGCTCTTACTGTTTACATATAAAAAATAAAAAAGCAAAAAAGAAGAAACTCAACTTAAGAAAATGTGTACCATCTTAGGGTTTTCTAGGGAGGGGGGTGGGGTAGGTCCTCCTAATGGTCACTTTGCTGCCCATCCGTAGGTTTGCCCATAAATAAATAAAAATATTTATAAAAAAATCCTTTTAATAAAAAAAAAATATTTTTCAGCATTTTTTTAAAAAAAATACTAATAATAAAAGAAATGTCCTGAAAAAGTGTATTAGGTATTTACTATAGTGGGTCTGTACTTATTTTGTTGCAAATATCGAATTCTTAAACCACACAGGGTGTTCAAAATTCCATGCCAAACTTTCTAAAATTTAAAAATAGTTTTTCTTGGTTTTTTTTTAACTGAACACCCTATATATTATTTATTTACTAGACGAAGAATTAAAAAATGAACACTATTTGTATTTAAAGTATTTCAAAATGTTTACGGTTTCGCAGATATTGCGGTTTTATATTTAATATGGCATTTTCCACAGTAAATTTTTATCAAAGCCACCTAATGATTTTTCATGGATTTTTCCCTCGCATTTTGCCGTTGAAAGAGCCATATGTAATAAAACCACGAATATTTGCAAAACCGCTAAAAATTTTGAATTACTTTAAATACAAAAAAAATATTTTTTAATTCTCCATCTAACAGAGAAATAATATACAGGGTGTTCCATAAAAAAAAACGAAGAAAAACTATTTTATATTTTAAAAAATTTGGCATATAATTTTCGACACCCTGTATGCTTTTAAATTACGATATTTGTGTTAAAGTAAATACAGATCCACTACAATATATACCTAATATAGTTTTGATTTCAGGACATTTCTAGTATTTTTAATAATTTTTTTTAAAAAAGCTGAAAAGAATTATTTTTTTATTTACTAATATTTTTGAAACTGTCTAAACATATTTAATATCTTAGGATTATGTAAAGCTATTAAAAAAGAAGCCAAAAATGCAATATCATTAAAAAATCGTCTCGATTCGCTCACTTTTTTGAGTCACCCTGTAGAAGTTAAAATATTTTCCTGAAATACATCCTGGTACATATTTTAGGTTTGCACTTAAACAAAATTCCTAACTTTTTTATTATAGCAGCTACAGATGCCCGACGCACTATTGCCGGACCCTGTATATTGCCTACTAACAAAAATAATTTTAAAACATGCCAGTATATTTTATGAAAATTTCTGAGATCAAAGGATCGAACCTAAATTAATATGAACAATAATATTAATAAAACTGTAATATAATAAATATTTATTGCAAAAAATTCTTTTTACAAATTATAAATTTAAAACCTTTAATATCTATTTTAAAATTGAAAAACGACTTTAAAATATATCATTTCTCTTCAATTTTCTCTTTGTCATCTATATTAGAAATTACTTTTTCACCACTCCTCAACGTGAACACTACAGACAGTTTTCCTAAATGTGGATTACCATCGATTTCTAAGTGCCTAATCCAGGAAAGTAAAGAGTCTTTAGTTGAAGTGCCCGTTGCACATAAAGCATAAATTACACCATCCTCTTGCTCGTGCACCGTGAAAGTTTGCTTCATTATATTCTTAACAGGGGGTCTGAAACTTAGAAACGGTGTTTTGATATTTTCAACATTATCAGCATCTTCGAAATCATCGTTGAATGGCCTTGGCTGACCACGAAGAATGAAATAATTTATAGGATTTCCTTTGAGCCACACTTTAAAGGGACCTTCCACAAAAATCGGATCTTTTTCGTTATTTTCACTCAATAATCGTTTCTGTGATATACTCTGGGCACTGATAATCCAAGTATCATCAATTGAGTCTTTGATATCAGCTGTTTGATAAACAGTCACTTTATTCGACACATCAACTCTACTAATTCTTTCTACTGCTAACTTAGTCAATTCTAAAAGGTCAGTAGGTAAAGGATCAGGTAGTGGAAAAGGCGATATATTCTTGAACCTTGGCATCCAATACATCATTCTCCAGAATTTTCTTAAAGGAAATCCTCTTTTGCCAAATATAGCTAAGAGCTGATCTTCCATATCGAAATCGGGCAGCACACCATAATCCTCCATTTGTTCTAAAACATCGATGATACATTGTTGTTGTTTTGGGTAATGCATAAATTCTGCTTGTATAAGATTCTGCGGAATAAGTTTTCCTTTGGGAAGAACGTCGATTAAAGCTTTATATACCTCTAGATCTTTCTGAACTCCGAACTCTTCCATATGTTTAAGTGCGGAATATATAAATTCAACATGACCTCTTCGATAAACATGTTCCCTATTTATATAGATCTTTACCATTTCTAAATAGGTGTTCTTGTTTTTGTTTTTACATCGTCAAATGAGTCTCTTACTACTACTGCTTTATCATTTTATCTCTAAATAACGCAGACGTGTGGAAAAACTTTGGAAAATTAAGGGTACTACAAGTTGAAGGCTGATTTTTGAATTTATATAAGGCTAAACCATGTCGAAGTAACTTCCTAATAAACATAGTTGTTAAGATAGTGAAAGCATTTGGTTCACTATATTTTTTAATTCAAACAAAACTTGTAATTAACTAAATTTCTACTTTTTAAACTTTTAAATAAACCCCATTTCGAAAATCGTGCATAACCTAACATTATCTCTGACATTATCAGAGACAATATCAAAATAGTTCAAATGACCTATTTGAAGTATATTGTGTTGCCTATTTTCATCAACGTTTTTCGATAAACTCGCATCCTATGAATACAGGATATGTTAAAGATTTTAGAAAATATCATCCGAGCCGCAAATTTGGTGCACTAAATAAAAAGAAATAAACGTCACAGATACATTTGTTTCCATATTTTTAAATTTTTATCACACGAAATTTGCACAGAAAATGCTTAGACGACAATTATTACCAATATGATACACAGCGAACTCAGACTGCTCGAACGTATATGGTATCAACCTATAAACGGATAACTTATTCTCTAATCATATCTTTGCTACAGTTTCACTCACTGTGATACTCTTACTGCAGAAATTAATACAACATTGGCTATTTTGTGGCGATACCGTATGATCGAAAAAAAAACTGCGTCACTGATGGCTATGAAATGAAGATCGGTGTCATTTTATATGTAAAATTATATGGAGAATGTAATCGATGTTCATTATTTCCAAGCCAACTGGACGTCATTTTTTTTTCGATCATTCGGTGCTTACATATGCTAAGTTTTTACTTTAAAATCACAACATTGAGTGTGTACAAATACTATCGCCTTCATTTGATGACGTCCCGCGTAAGCAGTCATCAGGCCTTCACTAGTAGATATAGATATTCACTAGTGATGGGAAAAACCGATGAATTTTAATAATCGAGCACTTGAGTTCCAAGCGATTTCAATAATCGAGCGATCGCTCGAGTGAAATTTCGCTCGTATTTAAAAATACGATTTTCGCCGTCGCTGTTGTTTGTACTCGTAACGCCAAGCAGTAAGCTGCGTGCGCAGAGGGCATATTCTTTGGATGATAGTGGCAAGCGACAAGCGACGAGTAGTTTCGCTTGATCATGCATCGAAGCCTTGTCGATATAGGTGATAAAATTTTGTCACACAGTTACGTAACAGATAACGTCGTATAGTCCTATAATTAACAATGCGGTCCCAATCAAAAGAACAATCTGTTGTTTGAAGACATTTTACCAAAAATGCTGTTATTATAAAATGCAATGTATGTAGCAAATTCACTCAATAGGATCGCTTGCGTTCGTCGCTCGTAACTTGCATCGGTCGTTCATAATCGAACGATGTTGAATTTTCGCTCGAGTTATCCCATCACTAATATTCACAGTACACATCTTCAGATATCGTTATTTCCACTTTCGCTTTACGATTGCTGCCCATTAGATGACCAAAACGATAAAAAATAATCGCCGATCTTTAAGCAATAATTAAATGAAACTACAGGGAATATAGAGATAGGTATTAAAATAAAACATCCGATTATATTTTAAACAATGCTTTATTATTATTTACAAATAAAAATAGTTACGGAGATGATAAATGAAGCATGCCTTACAATACTACGTCCTAAACTACCACCTATTATAATTCGGTCCCGCCCCGCCCATCGGTGGCGGATTGGGCCCCCTAAACCTGGGAGCGCCGAACGTCAAATTCAGCAACGGCCTGCCTTGTCTCGGGCCGCCTCCGCCGCCTTGATTGTGATTGCCGCCGCCTTGAGGCCGCTGGCCATGATACATACCCGGGGGAGGTACGCCTCGGGGGGGATTCCCGAACCTTTGGTTAGGATTTCCGTAGCCTCCTTGATTGGGGCCTCCGGGACCCATTGGCCTAGGATGGCGCTGCTGCGAGAACGGAGGACCTCCTCTGTTCGGATTGAACCCTTGCATGGGGGGTCCCCTGGGAGGTTGGCCAAGAAGCGGCCGAGGTTGGTTGGGGAACGGGCCTTGTGATGGAGGGTTCCTTCCGAAGTTGGGTGGTCCTTTCGAGTCGGGTAAATTTCGAGAATCTAAGTCTTGATCAGGTCTAAAATATAATGACATTTAATGTGTGGTGTATTAGAAATATATAAATAGTATAGTTTTTACAACGAACGTTTAACGTGGCGTCATATACTGTCTTACTTTATCTTCTTTGAAAACGAAAGAAGTTGTTGCATTTATCATATTAAGGAGATAGCAATGGACAAAATATTAAGAGACAACTTTTAATCGGCATCAAACGGCATTTACACAACAATTATGTTAACAAGAGAAAAAAGTCAGTGGCGCACATGATGTTCTTTAGAAAATTATTCCAGTGCTAACTGTGTAATACTGAGAATAACTTTCACTCTCAACATGTCATTGGAATCGCTATAGGCTTGGTGCATTTTAGTTGATTTCAAAAAATTCCGACCGCGGCGCTGTATGTGGCAGAAATCAGAAATTTTCGCTATGTATTTCACGCCATCCCGGTTACAGTTCATCTTGATCGCAAAATAATATTGAAATCGTGGCTGTCATAATGTTTAAGTATTTTTCATTTTACAGTTATTGAGACTATAAAACACTCAGGTACAAGGTTTGTGTGCTGTAACGCTGTTTCAGATAGAAAAAAATAAGCGAAAAAGAATTCAAACTGGGCATCCTTTTGTGACAATTTCAAATGTTCATAAAATTGCCGAAAAAATTTTAAAGCGTAAAGGCGAGCATAATTAGGGCGTTGTTGGGTGCAATAACATTCAATAACTCAACTTTCCCGGATATTCAACTCTCCCGAAACAACATTTTATAGCTTCATAATTTCTTACACCGATTTGATCAATAGCAAAAACGGATTTAAGCAGTTCGACGAAACAAGTGAGTAAACAAAGTGTTCGTTACATAATCAAAAAAATAAATAGACATATGTATACTATGAGAGGATGAAATATAATTTGCTATATATGAGAGGATGAAATATAATGGTATACTTTTTTAATCAACTAGTGATTAAATGTTTTATGAACATCTAAAATTATAATTATGTACCTTTAAAAAAATTCGTTATAGACGAAATAGCTCCAATTATGTCCCACAAGCAAAACCGGTGATAAAAGTATGCTCGCTACCGTAGTTGAAATTATCTAACTTTTTTAACTGGAATAATAAATTATAATGCAAGTTAGACCTTCGGAAAATGTCAAGATATTTACCTTTTTATTTGTTTGTTTAGAATTTCCACAAATTATACTTTCTAACACTTTTAGAATAATTATATACTATTTTTTTCGTTTACTCGCCATTTAAACCCGTGTATTTGTATGTGTTCGTTATTTGCGAGTTGCAGCACCGGCGGCGATTGCACCAAGCCTATAAGCAATATGAATTGATCTCACACACCATAAAACGTGTATATGAATATATAAAGAATGATAACGCATAAAGAATGATGACGTAAAGTTGACCAGTGGTTGCACAAACTATACCTATAATATGCGCCTATAAAAAATAACCTATTAGCTTACCTTTCATCTTCAGTCAACTCAATCATCTCAGGCGGCGTGTCCGCCTTAACCTCTTTCGGTTTTTCGGCCTTGGCGCTATTCTGCTGCACGCTGCTCACTATCTTGGCCAAACTATCTATGTTAATATCTCCCAAATTCCTCACGAAATCCGCGGACGAAGTGGGCGTGGTCAGGCTGGCGGCGCTAGACATGGTCGTGGTCGTGGTCAGACCGAGCAAGTTGACACCGCTGCTCGATACGTTGCCGCTGAACGAGCTCATCAGGTTCGAGATCAGTGCTTTGGCGTCGGTCAAGTTCGGCTCTTTGCTCGCGTTCAAACCGATAGAGGTCTCTAGGATTTTACGCGTGCCTTCCGCTTCTTGTTGTTTGACGTTTTTGGAAGCGGCCTTAACAACATCTAAAAGGAATATTCGATTTTAAACTATGGTTGGATAAATTGGACACTGATTTCGTATAAAATAAATGAGTTGATCACCAAAATTTTAATAATTCTGGAAACCTGCTTGAAAAAATTCCTTTTTATTGTTGTATTTTATACAATTTTTTTATTGTTCATTCAGAATTTCGAAATTAGTGGAATAAATTAGTGGTTTCAATTAGCGTAGGAGTTTGTTCCTCTAATTTGAATGTAAGCATTCAGTACGTCAAAATTAGTAATTTTCAATAAGTAGAAAAAGTTGACAAATCTTTAACTTTTTCCACGAATTATACTTCAAAATTTGCGAGTAACGTCATTATGGCCTTTGATAGTCATCCGTCAAAAAAAATGAGGGTTAGAAATCAAAATTTTATTGTTTTGTAAGCTAATTGTTAGGCATTCCCTATGGAGGGTAGAGGTAAGGAGCTTTGAATAATAAAATTAAGGATTATTAATTAAAAAGGAGCATATCAAAAATCTTAGATCGACTGCGACGGGACTCTAAAATGGCCGACTTAAATTCCGGTTTATCAGTGCCGTACTCATTTTATTCAAAACGTGTAAAAATACGATGTAGGGGAGACATGGGGTAGACTCAAAAATTTGTTGTTTTATTTTACGTTGAGAATAAATGTTGGTAGTTTTTAAAATTGCTATAAAAATATATAATTCTAATAAAAATAGATAACTTATAATAATTATTTATTAACACAAACATTCGATACGCTACTGAAACAGGCCAGTCAAATTGACATATCTAAATTCTTTGACATCTAATCTTTGACAAGAAGTAAATAAAAGCAAAAATGCAAGTTAAATGCAAAAATTAGTTAATTTTAAGTGAATTTCATAAACGATCGGTTTACTACACGTATGTATATTATAGTCACTTACTAGCAGAAAGTTACTTCACTATTTCCCTTGATTTTTGACAGAGATCTACCGCACGCTACAGTATATATTTTTTTACAGTATTCTTCGATAAATCGCAACAGTGTCACTGTTAATTTAAGTTCTGCCGCAATTTCCTTCTAGACTTACTACCTTTAAACAACTATCAACTATCAGTAGTAGAATAAATAATAAATAACATAAAATAAGTTCAGTAAAGACTGACAAATCCGCAAAATGTCAAATCAAATTCAAATGTGTCAAGTGCATCGTCAATCAGAACTGTCAAGGATCCCCACCATAGTGTCCGTCTGGATTTTGAATGCATGAATACATGGATAGCATTATACTCCTTTAATATTTTTTATTCAAAGGTAAGGAGAAACATCTCTTATGGGACTTTATTTAAAAACAACAAAATGGGAAGAATAAGGGTTCACTAAATTACTACTGGAGAAACTCCATTTAAACACTGCAAACCCCAACAAAAAATGAATGGGACACAGTCATGTGATCCAGGTGCACCTGCCGAAGCAAACGAATATCGATTGACGCGTGGTATGCATATTTTTCATTGTGAGCACCCTACAACATATACCACCATCATTATAAATCTTGTATCATCATTGTATCTTGAGAGATTGTAAGCTTTTAAATAACTAAATAAAAAATCCAGACCATACTTATATGTATTAGCAGTCATGATCTATGCATGCGAAACCTAGACACTTAAAACGGACATTATAAGGAAACTGCAGCTCGTACAACGCTCAACAGAACGGAATATGCTGGGAATAACCAGGAGAGACCGTAAAAGAATAGAATGGATACGACGAAAGATCCAGGTAATAGATGTCATGTCATGTCAGAATCAAATCCCTCAAGTGGCACACAATGGGCAGGACACCTGGCAAGGACAGACAACAGATGGAGCACAAAAATTACAGCATAGTACCCACGAGGAATCAAGAGACCTACAAACTTGAGATGGGACCATGATATAAGGAAATTAGCAGGGATAACCTGGGTCCGCATAGCCAATAATAGACAACAATGGGCCCAACTACAAAGAGAGTATCTAAATATGTGAGGGATGCTACACCATAATTGGAAATGGTTGAATAATCTGAAAATGATGATGAATCGGATTTCTTCAATTTCAAAACACGACGTTGTAATATTTAGCCAGGAACATATTTCCTCTAATTTAATCATCTATGTATCTCTTCTGATTTACGAGATCTTTGTAGTGTGCAGGGTTATACGGAACACTGTATATAAGTATTTTATAAAAAGTTTATTTTACCTTCATAACTATAATCTTCATCTTCAGAATCTAAATGAATTGTTTTGAGGTCGCTCTTATTTGCTTGATCCTCTCCATCGGGATTTAATCCTTCCAGGCGATTCGAGAACGGACTTTCTCTACCATTTTTCCGAGAAAGTGGATCGTCTTTTTCCGATTCAGTTATCTCTTTCGATTTATCCGAACCCAAATTCACAAACTTCCTCAATCTAGAGAGATATAAAACATTGAGTATCTATATTACGTTCAATAGTCGAATTCGGGCAATGCCCGAGAAAAATACGCAAATCTAGTTTTGAGCAAGGAATATTTCCCAAACCCGAAAAATTAATTTTATTTTCGATTATTTTTTTTTTGCTTATAGTGTGATTTGATTGCATTGGTTTCACTCTTTTTGGTTGGATTAGTTTAGTTATTTGGCGAGTTGGTTAGCGTGGTTATTTGGAGGCGGTTAATTCATTGGTTAGTTGGTTTTTCGGGTTTGGGAAATATTCCTTGCTCAAAACTAGATTTGCGTAATTTTTAATTCGACTATTGAGCGTAACATCTATAATATTCATTGAAAGACTGAAAACTTATAAATTTAAGTACATAATAAATATTATGATATTAAAATATACCAGGTGTTTTTAAAAAGTGGCTTCAGATAAAAAAAAACAACAATATCATAAATCAACAAAATAAATCGGGATTGACGTATTCAATTACTCTCGGTCACTTCAGGTTTCACCAGAAATGACTATAACATTTGATTTTTAAATGGTACCATCGGTATTTTTTTACTTTGATAGAAAATGAAATTTTGAAGCGAATGACATATCATATGTCAACTTTTGACATTTTCGCATATGGTTTATTTGAAATTGTAACATGCGGTTCATAACGTTATGAATCATAACGACAATTTTACTCGGAATATCAAGTGTGTGGAACCAAATTTTAGGCAAAAAAAATGTTTTTTTTTCATATATGCTAATGAGCCACCATCGTTCCATTTGAAAAAATTGAGATACGAATAAAAATACGATTTGGGCATCTTTTAGGTGGTCAAGGCAAGACACGAAAAATATTAGATGATCAAATTTATTTTTCCAAGGCTCCTTGATAAAAAATTAGTGTTTTTAATTTAACCATGGCACTCTAGATTGAAATTTAAAATACGATTTTTTTTTAAGCGACAATGTCAAAAGTTGACACGTGTCATTCTATTCAGTGTATAAAAAATACAATATATAAAAATACAAATACAAAAAGTAAAAAAATACCGAGGATGTCATTTAAAAATCAAAAATTAATTTCAAGTCATTTCCGGTGAAACAGGAAGTGATCGAAAACAAATGAATACGTCAGTCAATCCCGATTTGTCATATACTAAAGTGCGAATTCTCGTTATACAGGGTGGTCTGAACTGTACTCCGGAAACGTCGGCAGCATATTCTGCTGATAATAATAAATAAAAAAGTTCGTATAAATGTGTGTCCTAAAATGCTTAGTTTCGGAGTTACAGGGTGTAGAAGTTTCATTTTTATTTAGATTCTTTCCAAATAATTTTTGAAGTAACGTCAATATTTGAATGAAAATTGGTGTCTGGGAGGCCTTTGACATGAAAAATTTCATTTTGATGTCAATTAGACTCCTATTTGTAGGGGGCGCCACCTACATGTGTTTTAACTGTTTGAAGAGTAATAACTTTTCGTCTGTACCTGTAGAAAACTACTGAGTGAAAAAATATACATTTTCGTGAATTTATAACTTTTCTCACAAAAAAATTTCAAATTTATGATTTCAGTCTAATAACTATTTAGTCAACATATTTAATTTATGTCAATGATTAATTAATTTCCATTTCAAATATTTCGAGAACTATTTCTTGTAGCGATTTTTACCAGGATATTTTCTTCATGTAAAAAATCACGGAAATGTATATTTTTTCACTCAGTAGTTTATACAGGTGCGGACGAAAAATTATTACTCTTCAAAACAGTTAAAGCACAATGTAGGCGGCGCCCCCTACATATAGGAGCCATATTGACATCAAAATAAAATTTATCATGTCAAAAAAAACCCAAACACCAATTTTCATCCAAATATTGACGTTATTTCATAAATTATTTGTAAAAAGATCAAAATAAAAATGAAACCTCTACACCCTGTATCTCCGAAACTAAGCATTTTAGGACATAAATTTATTCGAACTTTTTTACTTATTTTTATCTGCAGAATAGGCAGGAGCACCCTGTATTTATCTCCCTGTGTGATATCCAATCGATTGCTTTAGGCAGATCGAATATATTGTGGTATATAAAGTTAATAAATATAAAAAAAATAATAATAAATATATATATTATATATAATAATAAATATATATAAAGTTATTATAGTGGTGAGCCACTTTTCAGAAACACCCGGGTATAATAAAACAATTTTTGTTAATAAATTTTATAAAATTTAAAAAAAAATATATATATTTTGTCTTACCTTTCTACGCGTTCTGGTTCGTCCAATTCCAATTTCTTCAGGTAATTGATCAAATTCATTTGCTCGTCGGTGGAGAGATCTTTGAAGTTCTGCAACAACGTCTGAAGATCCGAATCCGATAAGTTTTCCATGTTGTTGGACAGCTTTTCGGGGGTGGCGGGAGACAAAGGTTCAGTCAATTTGTCCAAATCCACTATTCCGGAATTCTTGTCCTTTTTCTCCGCCGAGGAATGCACTCTGGGAATGATGACTTTTTCTTTGGGCGTTTCTGGAGCGCCACCTGCCATTTGCGCCAAGAAACTGGCAGTGGTTATTGTCTTGTTCGAGGCTTTAGATGCCTCTGCCATTCCAACCTAACAAGATTTGTTTGAATATGAAGTCAAAAAGTACTTTATTGTCAATATAAATCAAGGTTATAATATTAACTTAAGTTGAAGAAGATATAAACTAAATAACAAAATAAAATAAAAACTAAAATATACAAAGATGTCAAATAATCATTTATTAAATATCCTGCTTTAGATACATCTACCGTTTAAAATAAAAACTAATTTTAAAAATATCAAGTCAAAAAGTACATTTTTTCAGTAATCTTAACAAAGCAAACTATACAGGGTGTCTCAATATTCCGTGGACATAGAAGTACTACGTTTTTTTGGAATCAAAATAAGTTCATTTGACACAATTTACCTCTATATAAAAGTGCTTTGTTTGTCCGCTAGAGGGCATCAAACTCTAATAAAATAAACACATTTTTCCGATATTTTAAGAACCGTTATTCTCATTTGAATGAGATTTTGGGTATATATGTATGTGTCTGTTAAGTGCTTTAACATTTGGATTTCACAAAAATCAAGAAAAAATACGAGAAGGATCAAAATCATCCACCCCTACGTAAAATTTAGTATAAATATTTTCCAACTCAAACGACGACCGATTTTCTTTTCGTAAAATGTTCTTTCTAGTGTTTACTACATTTTTTGTCTCTTGTAAAAAAATACGCCACTGCACATACTTTTTGAGGAAAAAAAATATTTTTTGTCACATCAAGCTATGGAGACGCATAAAATCTATTATGCTCTTAATAATCTAGTTGGCGAAAATATGAAATTTTACGTTAGTATTATTAATAGTTCAGTCATTGGGGATTTTTGCTTGGAAAAAAGTCCGGAAGTTTTGCAACTTTGCAGGTTTATAGGTTTCGGGGTCTCTAACTGAAATCCATAAAATACACATTCCCCATATTCGCAAAAATTTGAGGAGAGCAAAATTAAAGAGAATAAAGAAAATTTTCGCTAAAGTCAACCGTTTAGGCACAAAATCCCTGGAAATTTTACAATTTTGCGTAAAATATGATATATTATGTATAGTCGATTTTCCGAAATCAGATGTCGATTAGGGTTCACTAAAACTAGTTTTAGTTTAGTTTCTTCAATTTTGTCATAAAACAGTGGCGTATCAATAATTCGCTCATTAATTTATGAATAATTAATTTTAATTATTGAAAATGTGTACTTGTTTCCACACCACCCAAGAGGTAAAGTATATGGCGCGTTTATTTTAACGTGGTCTCCCTGGAGACATAGTCCACTAGATAAATTAAAAACTTTAACTTATCTGCACAAGACCGACGGATCTGGCTCATTGATGTCAAAGTCGTTCGTGTCTGCTGTGCTAGGCTCATCAGGGTGGTCTCTCAATACATCCAACTCTTCATCTTCAGCCGCCAGAGAGATATCTACAGGCAAGTCCAACTCCTCTTTATCGCATTCGTCGAGTGACACTTCAGTGACGTTGTCACAGGATTTTCCATTGCAGTATGCACAAATCATTGAACATTTTAATCCTGCTTTTCTGCATCCGCAGGTTTTACCATAGTTGTTGGTTTTGCATTTACAATTTATAGGATAAAAATGCCAACAGGGAGTTTGGAGCTGGATCTTTCAACGTTGTGACAGGAGTAATGCCTGTTTTTGTTTTATTCCAACCCCATTCTTCGGCATCTTTGGTACAACCAGACCAATGCTGAACCTGGTGGTAAGTTCGCAATGAATGGTGTATTGACAGCACGACAATTAATTATTCATAAATTAATGAGCGAATTAATGATACGCCACTGTTTCATGACAAAATTGAAGAAACTAAAATAAAACTAGTTTTAGTGAACCCTAATTGACATTTGATTTCAGAAAATCGACTATACATAATATATCAAATTTTACGCAAAATTGTAAAATTTCCAGGGATTTTGTGACACGGTTGACTTTAGCGAAAATTTTCATAAAACCCTTTTTATAGGAAATTTTATTCTCTTTAATTTTGCTCTCCTCAAATTTTCGCGAAAAACGGATAGTTTTCGAGATATTCACAAAATACCGATTTTGAGCGCCATCTTGGCAAGATGGCGGCGCCGGCGGCAAATCTGGAAATGTGCATTTTATGGATTTTAGTTAGGGACCCCAAAACCTATAAACCTGCAAAGTTTCAAAACTTCCGGACTCTTTTCCAAGCAGGCCCGTTTCTTGATCCCCAATGACTGAACTATATAAATTATCGGTGATATCTGTCTTACATCTTAAATGGAATTGGGCAGGACATGTGGCTAGGATAACAGATAGACGGTGGACAAAGAGCCTTGTAGAATGGAGATATAATAAGCTTTATAAAAGCATGAAAAAATGAATAACTTGTAAATTAATTACCGTTCGGGTTTGTTTTTGATTGATGCACTCTAATGGACAAACAAAGCACTTTTGTATAAAGGTAAATTATATTCTGTTGTTCTGTTGTTCTATGCCCACGGAATATTGGAACTCCCTGTATATTTTGTAGGTGTAAGTACTTTGAAAAAATAAATTCTCTAACAATTTTTTCTCAAAAACTATGCGATGTGGCGTTTTTTACAAGAGATAAAAAATGTAGTAAATACCAGAAAGAACATTTTACGAAAAGAAAATCAGTCGTCGCGTCGGTTGAGTTGGAAAATATTTATACTAAAATTTATGTAGAGGTACTTTATGTAGGGTACTTTTCACCCTTCTCGTATTTTTTCTTGATTTTTGTGAATGTCAAATGTTAAATCACTTAGCAAGACATAGACACCCAAATCTCATTCAAATGGAAATAACGGTTCTTAAAATATCAGAAAAAATGTGTTTATTTTTTCAAAGTTTGATGCCCTCTAGCGGACAAACGAAGAACTTTTATATAGAGGTAAATTGTGTCAAATGAACCTATTTTGATTCCAAAAGTACGTAGTAGTTCTATGTCCACGGAATATTGGGACACCCTGTATAATTAACTTAAGCTAAAGAATAGATTAAGGCGGACAATTCGCAAGTAGTTTTTATTGGCATACAGGTTCCGGCGGGAGTGCGGCGTAGCTCCTATAATAAATAACTTAGAAATTCTGTATAGATGTCCGACGCACCGTGTATACCCTGTATACCAATTACAAATGTTTGTCAAGTACACGAGTCGTGAGAATCAGTCTTAAAAACTAAAAGATACCCAAAAAATCTAAATATAATTCATAATTAATTATGAATGTTTTGTAATTGGATTTTGTAATCTGTTAGACAATAAAGCATATTATTTTTTTATTTTTTTACAGGTTTTTCATATGCGCTAGCCGGGGTTTAACAAAGGCTACCATTGTAGTGCACAGAATTGCTGATTTTTGTAATAGAACAACAGTTAATCTTCGCAATCCCAGACGCCTTAAAATATCAATTTTATGTATTAAACCGTTGACAGTAATAATTATTGGCAAAATTTTTACGGTTTTTAGATTCAAAACTCGCTTCGGCTCAGCTTTAGACCCTCATACTTATCCAACTTTTCCTTGTACCTTTTCCTTAACTTTTTATGTTGTCATCTATAGGAACTGACACGTCTATAGTGGTAAGTTAATATTGGGTACTAGTTGGTCTGTAATTATGCTCATATCCCAATAAAGCTTAGTAGAATCATTTTCGATTATACCTCTAAGCTGGTATTTATCATATGCCTCTTTATTTAGAACTATTTTGGTGTTGCAGCCCCAGTTCTTGGTGGATAAGCTTGGCTACTTCATTGTGTGGGTTGCGGCATTCTGTAGGAGCCAAATGAGTGCAAACACTACATGCCGAATTGTTTCCTCCTGTTTAAATTAGCCAAAGAAAACAAAGTCCTCCTACACTGGGTGCCTGCTCACCAAGGGATAGAAGGCAATGAAAAAGCAAATAATCTAGCTAGGAAAGGAGCGAACACTCCACTAACTGGACCAGAACCGTTCTGCTTTCCAAGTGGTAACCAACTCAAGGCGGAACTCAAGAACTTGGAAGATTCCATCCGCAACTTGGAATGGAAATCTTGCAATGGTCTAGGACACTCGAAGAAGTTTCTGAGGGCTTATGATCAAGAAAAATCACAGATCTTCCTGGGTCTGAGTAAGAACAATCTTCGGATTGTCACGGGGTTTTTAACAGGACACTGTCTCCTCAATGAACACCTCAGTAGATTGAAACTAAGAAGAAACGGCGAATGCAGATTCTGTGGGGAAGATGGTGAAACACCAGTACACCTCATCATCACTGAGTGCGCCGAGACGACAACCATTCGTGCCATGAATTTTGGTACGACTGATATTGGAGATGGAGAACTACCCTCTATAAAACCGTCCCAGATACTGGCTTTTGTCAAAGCCCTGGGACTGTATGATGAGTTATGATTCAAGAAAGGGGGATACAATGGATCTGTAAGGTCGAAGTGATTAACCCCCCTCCCACTCATTCTAAATTCTAAAAAAAATTCCTCCTGTTTGCACCCCATGCGGCATGGTGGAAGTTTCTCATTTTGTATAATTTGTATAAACGAATTATAAAATAAATAAGAAATAGGTAACAAAAAATAAACACAGGAAGGTCTAACAAATCCAAAAAATCCGATGAAATACAAATGTGTCAAGTGACACGCCAAACAAAACGGACAAAAGGGGATATTTCTATGATGTCGATCTTATGCGTAAATTTAAAAACTGCATTAGACTCCTTAGTCTTTTTTTAATAAGTTACTAAAAATCAAAATTATCAATTGAAACCAATCTCTTTGAGACACTCTCTATACATGAAATGGAAAACTTTCTCATTAAATTTTTTCAATACATATACATGATAAATTTGTGTTCACGTGATATTCCTTTACAATGTCACAACAGATGTAAACTTACCACTGCATTTATTAGTTGTTCTAATTGATCTTGAGTAACGTCGGTCTTGCCTTGAGCAATCAAGGCGTTCGCTATTTGCTTAGCAATTGCTGCTTTATCTACTGCTCCTACTCCTGGCACAGCTACCGCGCTCTGTCCTGATAAATTCAATAAAAAAATATAAAAAATAACCACTTTATTACTAATTTTATACCTGTTAGTGGAGCTTTATTCCTCTTACGTTCACCAGCGATATGAATCAGACTGGCCGTTTTCTGTATGCCCTTCTTAAAAGCCCTTTCTTGTATGGGGTCGACCAAACCAGCTATCAGCTGGCCCTTCAGCTTTTCCTTCACCTAAACACAACAATTTTCAATATCAAAAAGAACTTATAAAAAACGTGTTTTACCGTTTCAAACATGACGCAATTGATTTCATTGTCGAGAAGAGATTCGCTGCTATTGGGCGCTTGTTTTTCCATGGCCAAGGCTTGGGCAAGGAGGTCGATTATTTTCGGACCTAAAGAGCCTAGTCTTTCTTCCAGGGCTGTCAGAAGACGAAGCACGGAAACGATGTTGACCTGTAAATTGGTAAAGTGATGTTAAAATTAAAAATGCCTGTAGCCAGAAAAACTCTTTTCTAAAAAAATAGTCCTCGATGCACAGGTAGTGTTTGTATTCGGAATCATTGTGTGGAAATGCTCCCTTATAAGAGCATGTAAGAGACAAACGAGCATATATAAGCACAAACGAAAATTTTCCTTATAAACATTTTAAAGGTGATTCTTTATTTTTTGGTCTATATAAACATAAGCTTTTACAAAAATAGTATTTTCTTGTGTAGGAAAGAACTGAAAACCTTTTAGTTAACACAATAATGAACTTTTCAATTGGCAAATTAATAAATAAAATTTGGTTGTACCTACTGATGCAGCAACAAATAATAATTTTAAAACCAAAAATTAGAATATAAAAATCGGTTTTGAATAAAAAACAATGTATCAAAACATAAAGTTGTTTTTTAGCCTCAACATCACAATGTCTTGAGACTTGAAGTTGCTATAACATTAGTTGATAAGGGACAAACAAAATGTAAACTTAAGCTTCATTCAGAACAGCAAAATAAAACACTAATTCACCACAATACACTAAAACACTTTTACTTTTGCACTGGACGCACGTTTCGCTAACCATGTTAGCATCATCAGCAGATGATTGAAACTGTTTGTCGTATTCTGTTGTTTGTCATATGTCAGTTTTAATCATCTGCTGATAAAAAACGCGCGTCCAGTACAGAAGTAAAAATGTTTTGGTGTATTGTGGTGAATTTGTGTTTTATTTGTTATAACACCAAAGGTTTCAACCCCCAACTGTAATCAGAACCTTAAAATTAGTAGAATAAATTATCAGTTTTAATTATACTTTATACTTTAGAGCTTACAATCATCCACAATGTCTAAAAAGATTCAATTAAATTTAAGAGAATATCATATAGAACGCCTAATAATTAACTTATAAAACAATAAACATTTTAATTCTAACAACTTCTCCTGATGATAATCAAAGACCAAAATTATATTTTATACAAAATTTTAATTATAACTAGTGAAACAAGTTGATTATCATGTTTATTAGCTTTTTCTACTAACTGGAAGAATAGATTAGATTTGGAATACTAAAACTCATCATCTACTTACCTCGCTATTATCTTCCTCATCATCCACTATAGGAGGTACAATCATTGGCTTAGGACGCATCTTTGGAGGACCTCCATAATAATCATCAAAATCTCCACCACCTCTACCATACATGACTGTAAAAACCAATTGTAAATCACTCAAATCTTTAGAAGATTTTTAATGGGGAAAAGAATTGAATAAAGGTTGAAGGATTAAGCGATTAAGCAATTAAAATAGAACAATAAAATGAATAAAAATAATATACACAATAATTGTGTTATATTATATGTATACAAAATTCCGACACCAGTTTGATGTTTCATAACTTTTTATTTTGTAATTCGATTTTTATGATTATAGTATCAGTGTGAAGATAAATTATTTGCATTATTTTTTTTATTATTTTAATGGCTTATATATATTCTCCGGTTAGGTGGGTTTATACCGGGGTAAATCAAAACGTTGTTTTTTGCAATAAATTCAAAACACCCTGTGGAAAGAATGAGACGGGCATTCTGAATAAAAAAAAACACTTTATTGTAAATAAAATATAGTTAGACTTACTCTTTTCTTTTTCCCATGGCAAATCCAACACCGTCCTAATCCTTTCTCTGCCTTTCAAGTCTCTTTCGTAAGAGCTCTCTCGGTATCTGTCCTTCTCCCAGCTCCTCTCTCTGGAGTAGCGCCTACCTCTATTATCTCTATAATCTCGTTTTTCAATTTCGCGCTCCCTTTCTCTGATTTCGCGGTCTCTATCTCTAATATCCCTCTCTCTGTCTCTAATATCTCTTTCTCTGTCTCTGATCTCTCTTTCCCTTGAAAACGGTCTTCTGCCCATGGAGTCGGAAGATCTATAGTTTTTAAATAAAAAATATATGTTAATTTCCAGAGCAATGTACGGGGTGGGCCAAATTGGACACTTTTTTGTAGGCCAATTTGGACACAAAAGGCAAACTCCCTGTCTAAAGGAGATAGACAAAAACATATGTGGGTGTCTGGACTTCAATTTTATATCAAAAACATAATAGTAAAACCCGAACATCTCCATCTGTTAGTTTCAGAGTTACAGGGTGTTTTTCGAAAATGTGCATTTTTAAAAAACCCCGGTAACTTTTTAAATGTTGTGTTTTTATAAAGATATTTCCAAAGCAACTTTTAAAGTAGAATTTAATTGTTTAAGTATAATTTTTTTAAAATTAATAATTTAGGAGTTATTACTAATTTCTAAATATGCCACGTGGAAAATATTTGTCAGAGGATCTTACCGATAAAATAATCAGCGCACATCGCAATGGTGTACGGCAAATGGACATAAGCACAATGTTTAATTTGCATAAGTCTGTCATTAGCAAAACGATTTCCAATTTCAAAACTCGCAATTCCTTAAAGACTATTAAAAAGTGGTCGGCCAAGGAAAACAAATTGAAAAAATTAAAATGATAATTAAAAAAATCGCCTTAACTAATCCGAATAAATTAGCAAATCAAGAATTTTCAAAGGGGCCTGGAATTCCATTGAACCAGATACCATAAGAAAACTATTGGACTCCATATGCCAAAGCGATGTCGTGAAGTTATAGCTAATCACAGTTGCTCTACCCATTATTAATTTTTTTTAGGTTAGCAACAACTATGTACTTGTAATTTTTATATTAATTTTTGGTTTCTCTATTTTTGTCCCTATAGTTTTTTATTTAACTGAATAAAATCTTAAGTTTTCGTCAGACATGTGATTATTTCATTTAAATAAGAACTATTTAAGTATCTTTAATTTTAACAATGCATAAAATAGCCTCAGTCCCTGCGTTAACAAAAAAGACACAGTTTTAAAAAATTTTCTGTACTATTGTCCGATAGTGTAAATTGCATTTGGTATATAAAATCCTATCTGTATAATATTACAGTTTTTTTTTATTTTTAATTTTATGTTACCTTGATCTCCTGTTCCTAGACAGACTTCTCGCAGGCGACTTCAACTTCTCCCTTGGTATTATCTCCCTGGATCTAGACCTCCTGAATTCCCTGGATCTGGATCTACTCCTCCTTAGCTCTCTCGATTTCGATCTCCTCAATTCCTTGAGACTGGGCCTCCCGAATCCCTTGGGACTCAGCCTCCCGAATCCCTTGGGACTCAGCCTCCCGAATTCTCTGGACTTCGACCTTCTCAATCTGTCAATCGGTTCTTTAACGAAAGGTTTCGGCTTTTCTATGGATATTTCTCTGGAAGGTTTCGGGCGGGCGTCTTTGGGAGGATCTTTAAAACCTCTTCTCGGTTGCGGAGATGGGACGTTTCTTCTGTTTTTGACGTAACCTTTTGGCGGAGACTCCCTTTCCCATGGACTGTGCGATCTAATCAATATAATAAAAAACAATACAGTTGATGTTGAAACATTTGGCGTTGAACAGTTGAAAGCAATATAGAACACTAGCATACAAAACAACTGTAGACAGCGTTATGTTTTAAATATTTTGCTTAAAAACAAGTCTTTAATACTTACTTGCTTTTAGCATTTAATTAAGACTGTTTAAAACATCAGTAAAAACAATTTCGTGTTATAGGAGTTTTTTTTTATAAAAAATAAGACCAACGCATATTTGAAGTGAAACTTCTAACTAATAGCTATTAAAGGATTTGAAGGACATGTTTGAAAAAGTGTAGTTTGAAATGTTGAAAAAGTAATAAACTAATGGATGGTTTATACAACATAGTCGTAATCAAAATCATAATTTTAGTCTTAAGCATAAGCCCAGTCACAATCACAATTTTGATATGCGTTTATACAATATAGTCGTAATCATAACTTTAAATATAAATACAGTTGAAAAGTAACTTAATTTTCTTATTTTTCTATTTCATAATCTTTTAGAAATGTATTTTATTGTTTAAATTTTTTTACTCAGGTTTTTCAGTTAAGAAAATTATCATAATTACAGTACGTCTGCTGGATCTGTGTCTATGAAAGGAATGCGGACAAAAAACATTTAAATAAACAGCAATATATTTTATACGTAGACTTGACGAGTACGTCACCGCAAATCGCTCCGCCCGCTCATTTTATTGGCTACTTGCAAATTTGTCGAATTTTTATTGATGGGACGCGTTGTCTAATTTTTTACGAAAAACATCGAAAGAATATCGTTTCCCCTCTCACGGATACCCCGGAGCTACAGAACGGACAGACGTACTGTATTAAACGTTAAAATGAAAAAATAAATAATGCCCCCTAAGCCTAAAAATTGACGCCGGGCATGCGATCTTCGATTCTTGTTTGATAAGGGTGGTCCACTACAGTTTTTTTAATTTTTTGTTCAACATTTTTTATTATTGTCAAGGTCAATCCGTAACCTTATTTTTTTTATGATGTGGCATTAAAACAATAACCTAAATTTTTACTCTTCTACCATCCAACCCAATTTTTTAATAGGGGTTGTTTTTTTAATAGTTTTAGTTACCAATACTCTTCCGAAACGGCATGACCGATTTTGATGAAATTTTATGTTTAACGTACAGGGTGACAATTTGAAAACGAACAGAATTTAATATTACCTCTACCGAAGATAGTATGAAAATTTGGCGAGAGAGAGAAATATGTCAATTTACATATCAAGGGGGACAATTTTTGAGGCATTTGTTACTTTCGTGTTACTTTCAACCCTTTGACCCCCAGGGCACCTACCCCTAAAATTTTGAAAAGCAACCCCTATTTCTTTTACCATTTTTGTGTTTATAATAGATGTATATGATAAAAAAAAACTAAAGTGTTCTTGAATAGTTGTATTTAGATAGTCGAACTAGTGTCTTATTTTGCTTAAATGGCCTATTATAAATTAAAACAATTGAGAATGATACCTGTTATCTCTCTTATCTCGCGGTGGAGTTGGTTCATCCTTATCATCAATGAGGATAACCTCCGGATCATTGTCCGGTCTAGCGGCCATAGGTAAATTAGGCCTAGGTAAATTTTCTTTTGGAGGGGCCTGGACTGGTTTATTTGCTGGTTTAGTGGGAACGGTTCCAGATGCACCAATGCGGAAACTGATGGGCTGTAATTCTTCAGGCAGTCCTGCAAAAAATATCGATATAAAATGCCAGTACAAACTCGGTTTAATAAAAAAATACAGATGTTGGCTGTGATTTTGTATTTAGGCTTATTTTTTTAAATTCCAAACAACGTTTCTTAATGCCATTTGTCAAAATTCTTTCAAATAAAGGTACTTTACTCTTGAACGATTTTCGTATTTTTGGCCTACACTGTAGGTTGTTTGACTTGCAATCATTCTAGTACCGCTGATATGGTTGTCGGACACGCACTAAATTTTGACAGCATTCCCATTTTAATAGGACGTCTAATAAAAAAATTCGCACATGTTGCATAACTGAACTACACTGTATACAGGGTGGTCCGAACTTTAAACCAAGCAAATTCTGCAGATAAAAATAAGTAAAAAAGTTCGTATAAATGTATGTCCTAAAATGCTTAGTATCGGAGATACAGCCCAAGTAACAAAATTCAGACTTCCGACTAGTTTTGACTATGCGCAACGTTGAAATGGGTACTTTTCTCTACCCTATGCATACCCCAACCTCAAATTACGTAGCCAAAACGTCGCCACGACGTTGCACTTAAACAGTTGTATATTTTGACCCTTAACGTTGGCAAACGTTGTAGGCCACAACGTTGTTAGAAGTTGGGTTTTATACCGTTGTCATTACGTCGTCAGAAGACATGTTTATTGTACTACAGAATAACCAACGTAGTACAACGTTGTGCGACGTTTCATTAAACGACTCAAAGCAACTTCAAAATTATAACCAATCACTACGTTGGATTACGGCGACGAGCGCGAGGATGTCGATTTTTGTTGTGGAAGCGGAACTATCTACACCTAACCTCAAAAAATTCTGTACTGTACTGTCACAGAGCAATTGGTTAGGTTAGGTATTTTTTTTGTTGTACTTATTGTGTCAAGCGAAAAGAAGATGTATAGGATAAAAGTATATAAATACTCATAAAAAGTATTTAGAAGAAAGTCAGCGAGCAAGTCAGTGACCGAAAAATGAAGTGGAAATAACGAAATTAGGTTCGTCATCCATATCCTCGCAATCATGTATCAAAGGAACGTCCACTTCAATTTTGAAATGCTACTAGTGGTAGCTTATCATGAATGGATACTATAGAAATAAATAACAGTACACCTGAAGCCCATACAACAGAGGAATACTGTGAGAATAATGATCCTCCAGAAGAGCAGTCAACTGAAGTTCAGTTTCAGCATAAATTGAAGAGAATATTAGATTTTAATTTTCAAATGAGTGGTAAAATCAACAATACTTCCTATACGGCTTTTTTAACAATAAATAAATAGAAATACTGATCTAATGTCAGCGATCTTATTAACGAGTATTTGACCACCACCACCAAAGAATCACAGTTTTCTTCTTTATTTTATTGTTCCTAGGAAAAAAAGAGCACTGTAAGAAGGAATTTTCTTATTTACCTCCTAGATGTCGGTAGGGTTCAGAGGTCCTAACCTTTGAACCAAAGGTTGTCATAGGTGACCCAAAGGTCACCTATGACAACCTTTGGTTCAAAAATGCACTATATTGGTATTTTAAAGGTTGCCTTAGGCAACTCCGCCATTTTAATACGATTTATCTGTTCGTGCGTTGTGGACGAATCAAATAAAATATCAGAAACCACAAAATACTGCGAATTTCGTTAAAAACTGTATCTGTTAGGGTTGTAAGCTAATTTTCCTGATAGATTTCGTATTTGTCTCAAAATTAAAAAAAAAGAAGTTAGGTTAACCAAGTAAACTATAATTTTAAAATTAAAACTAGGAAATAAAAAAGGAGTTTTGCGATATTTCGAAGGTTTTGTCACTTTCAACAGTAAACTAATCTTCGTTGATGAATTTCGATTGCCGATATCTCAAAACTTTGTAGATTTGTCGAAGTTAAATTCACCTAGTTATTTCTTAATAGAGCATAATATATTCCATTTCTAATTCATACATGATGAGCCATCACCAAGTTAATCGAAATCAATGTTTTGGTTTCCCCATGGTTGAATGTAGTAATATTTGACGACGAATATTTTTAACTCATAGGTGCCCGGTGGCGTAGAAGTATAGGCTCTCGTCTACCAATCTCAAGGTAGTGGGTTCGATTCCCACACCCGGCACTGCATCAGCCGACTCTTTTTATTAAAATAAAAATAGTTTGGGTACCTAGGTCGACTCAGCCTTAAATGAGTACTTTGGATTCACAATCCTGAGGTAATATGTATCAATAGGCGGTTGAAGCGTAGTGCTAGCAACATTACCTTCCTTGTATACCGAACGGCTCTAGTATGGCAAGCTGTACCTTGCTACTCCCAAGGCGTTGAACGCTATATACGGGAGCTATTATTATTATATTTTTAACTCTAACCTCAAAATATCGCGAATCGGCATGAAAAACAACTTTTAGCACACGACGTACTACGTCGCCTCAAACGAACCATTAGCGACCCTAAAAACATCCACCATTATGGTGCAAATATGGGTCGCTTCGATGTTGTCCGGCAACGTTGGGTTTCTCCTGGCGACGTTGTGATTACGCTGAACAACGTAATTTTGCTACTTGGAAGGGTGTAGAAGTTCCATTTTTATTTTTATTTATTATTCGATTTTTTCCAAATAACTTTTGAAGTAACGTTAATATTTGGATGAAAATTGGTGTCTGGGAGTTTTATGACATGAGAAATTTGATTTTGATGTCAATATGACTCCTACTTGTAGAGAGCGCCACCTACATATTTTTTAACTGGTTTGAAGAGTAATAACTTTTCGTCTGTACCTGTATAAAACTACTGAGTAAAAAAATACACATTTACGACGTTTTTATGTAAAAATGCCTCTTGGTAAAAATCGCTACCGAGTAATGGTTCTCGAGATATTTGGAAACAAAATTATCAATACCTATCATCATATTGACATAAAATAAACATGTTGACTAAATAGTTATTAGACTGCAATCATAAATTTGAAATGTTTTTGTGTCAAAAGTTCAACTGGAACTGTTTTATCATCATTTTTTGGCAGAAAAATTTATGATTAATTTTAAAAAAAAATTCCCAAATTTATTTTATTTCAGTCAAATAACTATCTATTCAACGCGTGTGTATTTTTTTGTCAATGACATGTATTGACTATTTTCATTCTAAATATCTTGAGAACGGTTGTTCGTGGCGATATTTACCAAAAGAATTTTTTTTACGTAAAGTCACGGAAATGTATATTTTTTCACTTAGTAGTTTTATACGTTAAGTACAGACGAAAAGTTACTACTCTTACAAACAGTTAAAACACATGTAGGTGGCGCCCCCTACAAATAGAAATCATATTGACATCAAAATCCCAAATTTCTCATGTCAAAAAACTTCCAGACACCAATTTTCATCGAAATATTGACGTTACTTTAGAAATTATTTGGAAAAATCGAAAAATAAAAATGAAACTTCTACAACCTGTATCTCTGAAACCAAGCATTTTAGGACATACATTTATACGAACTTTTTTACTTATTTTGTACCTGCAGAATATGCTGCCGAAGTTGCCGAAATACAGTTCGGACCGCCCTGTATACAGTTTAAATTTTTTCAAATACTAGCTAATAATTATTGTGTTACAGTTCCTCTGTTCTGTTTCTATATTAAACATTTCACCTTAATATTTACTTACCTAGACGTTTTCTCAAAGCATCTTTCCTATTCTTCGCCTCTTCCTGATGAAGTTCCAACATTTTCTTTCCCCAAAACTCGATCCATTCCGGCTTAAAATCGTATTTACTGGCGTCCCTACCTTCACTTTGAAGCTCTTTATATCTGAATTCAAACAAAAATCGTTATAATACAACGTTTAAGCCTGTTTAAATAATAAAACAACCTTCTATTCCAGAATAACTTCCATTCGTCGTTATACTTTGGATGTTTTTCAGGATTCTTTTCGTGTTTTTTCAGTGTCTTTTCCATATCGTTGTCGATGGCCATGCACAACTTTTTGTATTCTTCTAATTTCAACTGGCGTTCCCGCTCGCGAATTCTCATTTTCTGCTGTTCGACGTCCTTAGTCGGTTTTCTTACGTCTCTTTCCCATGGTCTTCTTCCAGGCGACGGAGAGCGACGTCTATAATTACTATTTGCGAAGAAATAAAAGAAGAAATTGATTAGTTAGTGGTTTTCCAGGACGCAAAGTCACAGAATTATTTAACCATACCCAAATAACATATGCAAAAAAAAATAAGTTAGTTTAATTGTTCTACTTTTAGACTATATTTTTCATAACGTCGGTTGTCAAATGTTGATTAGTTGATGGATATCATAAAACAACCCCCTTTAGAACTTTTTCTTTAATGGTCACAAACGGGAGTAAAAGATTAACCAAGCAAACAAACACCAGAGGTGCCACCGTTCATCAAATGGTGTAAAAATTGCGAAAATTTAATCATCTAATTTTCGCAATGGTCGCGCTTAACTTTTTTTAATTTTAGTTCAATTTTCATTTTGTTGTATTTTGTGAATCTATAAAAAATGTTTTCTCCAAAACAAATCCTTTATGGGTATTTCGCCACTGACATATATGTCAGTTGCCGTCTAAAATGTCATCTTGATAACAAAAAGGTTATTGTCAGAGATAGTTAAAATATCAAAATTCACCAGTTATAATTAGTAATTAGACAATTCTATTATATATTATTTCAAAAACAATTTTGATATGCAGGATCAAAACAAAAAGTGCTGTTATATTTTTCAGTTTCCGTTGTCAATCGCGGAAGTTTCAGTCATTTTAGTGTTGTCGGATATTTTTATTTGTGAGAAATAAATATTGCGTTTGGATTGCAAAGCTAAAGGTGGCACTTTTATTGCAATGTAAGCAAGCGTTTGCCCATTTTATATTTGACTTTTTTCATACCTACGACAAATGTACATAGTATATTGAAATTTTATAAATCGTTTTATTTAAAGAATGTTAGAAAACAAGTCTGTAATTGACATACCTAATTGTTATGTAATATATTCCATTTAAATGTAATATATTACTTTACAATTAAAAAAATGTAAATTTAAAAAATATATTAAAAACATATACAAGCATTAATTGAAATTTTTAGTAACCGAACAAACACGAGAGGCGCTTTACTTACTTTCATTTCTTAACATGACAGATGAAGTTCTAAAGGGGGATGTTTTGTGATGGGTATCAGGGATAAACGTGAAAAAAAATCGTAATGAAAAAAATAAAAAGACGATTTAAGTTAAAAGTATTAACTTAAATAAGCACTAATTGTGCGAATTTTAGTTAAGTTATTTTCTGTTTAAAACACACAAGCAAAAAATGTGTACGCAAGTACTAATTGATTTAAAATGAGGGTTAATCAAGGGGTTGTTTTTTTACCGTAATTTTAAAACACACTGTGCAACAATTTTGTGTGTAAATATTCCTAAAATACAATTTTACGGTCAGATCCATGTCTCCTGAGCATTTTGTTTTTTGGATCATGGCAATAAACGCCTTGGTTAATTTTTAAGAGCAACATGAACTTATAACCAACAATTTGCAATTTTTTCAATTATCATTTCTTTTTGAAGTTATTTTTCAATAAGACAAAGCGGCTTTGGTGATTATTGTGAACTATAAACTACTATGAACAGCCCATTATGTTCGAGGTTTGGGAAATGCTTGGCAGGAGGGTTAGAGGTCGCGAAGCGGTACCAGCTTGATTAAACGAATTTCGCTTGGTTCTTAAAGAAGAATGGGAAAGCATAACGCAATAAGATATATGCAGCCTCAACGACAGTATGAACAGACATATACAGGCAGTTATAGCAACCAAAGCAGATAATACATACAATACTGTATGGTTAGTCTTTAACGTTTTTTTTAAATTTAATATAGAGTAATCCAATGCAGCGTATTATGACGTTACGACAATAGTCACCAAAACCATCTCGTCATATTAAAAAATTACATAAAAAAGTAATGATAATTGAAAAAATTGCAATTGATTGTGATCAGTTCATTTCGTTCTTAAAAATTAACCAAAGCATGTATTGACATGAATCAAAAAAACAAAATACTCAGGAGTCATGGTTCTGATCATAAAATTATATTTTAGAAAAATATACACACGAAATTATTGCACAGGGTGTTTTAAAGTTATTATAAAAAAACAACTCCTCGATTAACCCTATATAATATGCCAAATACTAAAGTTTATAAAAAACATGAGTTTACGCATTAAAGTTGATACTAAGGGCTGGCAAAGGTTAGTTTTGGGTCGAGATTTCCGTATGTAAGAAGAGTACAATGCGTTTATAATGTACTGAACAAAAAGAGGACAGTAAACACGTTGCCAATCGTATGAAATAAACCGAGAAACTGTGCACATCGCTAAGAGACGTGGAAGGGGATATAGCAGATTTGTCGCAGTTGACCGGTCGACCCAGTCAATACCTCTGTCAGTACTTAAAGTTCTAGAGAAAGGTGTACGTCATGCGTTCAGCTTCACGATTTAATTACGTCTCGTGATACTTAATTTGTTTATTTATTAACGAGTCGTTGTAATTTTCCCTATAGCTTGAATTTTTTTAAGTGCAAGCTAGAAACACTTGCATTTTTGGTAAAAATAAGTGAATTGAGTGGGTGTTCGATAGTGGTCGATTGTAGTTTTTGCAAGAACTTTGTTAATATTTCTGCTGTATTTTCTTTGTAGACAGTATGTGAAAATCTTTATCAATAAAAAAATTACGTGGATTGTTTACAATTTTTGAATGGAAAAAACAATTTTATCGAATTTTTCTTATGTAAACATATTGTAAAATATCCGATCTTGAAAATAAAAAAAAGTTTCAATATCTAAAGTGGTTCTTGAGTTATGGCCTGTTATGTGTTAAAAAGGTAAGTTGAAATGACACCCTAACGATATCCTTATAATTCCATTTCAGATGCTCAGAAACATGTCTAATGATTTTATCTAGTTATCACTTGAAAAAAAAATCTTTTAAAAATAAGCGGTTTGTGATCGTGATTTTACTTTACTTGATAGGGAAAGGCGTATCGGCAACGCCGCAACAGCACACCGTCGCGTCGGTTGGTCGCATTTCTCTCACTCCGACTTAATAAGATCCCTATGCGATTTACTTCCACACATGTAAATGCCGACCCAAACGTAACAGTTGCCAGCACGGTATAATGACATACAGCTTGCCAAAAAAATCATGAAAATAAAGCGTTTTATGCATCTGAGTGTACTTCTTTTTGAACTTTTGTTAACCTTGCAATAAAAATGTAGGTTTTTAACTTAAATGGAAGTAAAATAATTTAATTATTAAATACAGTTTGCCTTAATATATAATTTTAATTACTAAAATACAATGAAAATTTGACTATCTGAATGAAATAAATTATTGTAAAGCAAGTATTGCTACAGATTGGCTCCTAAATACTATTTTTTATATCTACATACCCCGTTCTAGGCGGTGGCGACTTATTCCTCGAAAACTTTCGCCCCTTATTACTATCCTCGTCGTCGCTAGAGATGCTCGACATGCTGCTCAAACTGGACCGGCGTGTCTCCCCCCTAAAGGGTCGCACCGGGGGTCGAACGTTAGCACCAGGCCCTCCTGGTCTCTTGGGCACCTCGACGGGTGTTTTTTTCACCTCCGGCGGTTTCTTAACAGCTGCTGCCAGCGGGCGCGTCTTTTTCGTAGGCGGGGCTACGGCCGGAGGGGAGGGGCTACGCTTTTGGAACGGTTTCTCGATGAAGGTTTTGCCGTCCCAGCTTGTAGCAGGTTTAGTTGGTTTTCCATCTTCTATGTTTTAAAAATAAATATACAGGGTGGTCCGAACTGTATTCCGGAAACTTCGGCAGCATATTCTGCAGATAAAAATAAGTAAAAAAGTTCCCATAAATGTAAGTCCTAAAATGCTTAGTTTCGGAGATACAGGCTGAGGAAATTTTTATTTCGGTATTTTTTCCAAATAATTTCTGAAGTAACGTCAACATTTGGATGAAAATTGGTGTCTGGGAGTTTTTTAAAATGAGAAATTTGATTTTGATGTCAATATCACCCCTACTTATAGAGGGCGCCACCTACAGATTTTTAACTGGTTTGAAGAGTAATAACTTTTCGTCCGTACCTGTATAAAACTACTGAGTAGAAAAATATACATTTACGACGTTTTTTACGTAAAATAGATCTCTTAATAAAAATCGCTACGTGTAGGGAATGCAATCCCGTAAATGCTGGATCCCTCTGAGATTCCGCGGGATCGAAGTTGCGGGATTTATCGTGCGGGATCCGCGGACCTGGTTTTAGATGCATCTATTGTGATTAAGATGCTATATGGTTTTCGAAAATATATTTAGCGAATTCTCGTATACAAGGTGTTTTATAAGAGAGTGAAAATTTGGTCAAGAATCTTTTTTACCGCAAATTTACGAGTTTTAAAGAATCGAAATTTTTACCAAGTACGACTAATCTGTATTGAAATTAGAAAAAAACAATTTGATCGGTTTTTTAATTTTTTTTGTTTTAAGGAAAATTGACTTTTTTTCGAAAAATATGCATTTTTAATCATATGTATGGTCCTAAGTGGTACAAAAAGCTTTGTACATTCTGCATATGTCAAAAAATTATTGATGAGTCTATCTAAAAGCAGATAACTAACACAAGTTAAAAAAACTTCAACATCAGAATAATATTTTTATTTATAAAATAAGTAGATAAATTATAATAAAATTTAAGTTTATTTAATATTAAATATATTTTTGAACACCCTGTATAAATCGGTCCAAATTTCTGTACAGCTAGTTTAAGATACACGCTATATCAATATGTTGTGGGCCTATGCAAAATGTACAATGCCTTTTGTACCATTTAGGATCAAATGTATGACTATTGTTTACAGTCCCGCAATTTTGCGGATCCGCGGGATTGATTGCTTTAATCCCGCGGGTTTGCGGGATTGAGATTTTGGTGCGGGATTGCATTCCCTAGCTACGAGTAATGGTTCACGAGATATTTGGAATCAAAATTATCAATATCTGTGGTCATTGACGTAAATTGTTGACCAAATATTTATTAGACCGAAATCATAAATCTGAAATGTTTTCGTTCCAAAAGTTCAACAAAAACTTTTTATCAGTTCCTAAATTTATCATTTCAGTCAGATAACTATCTGCTTGAGATTGTTTATTTTTTGTCAATAATGACAGGTATTGACTATTTATTAGTTTTTTTTAGGTATTAATAAGTAATTTTATTAGATATATTTTTTACGTAAAAAATCACGGAATTGTATATTTTTTCACTCAGTAGTTTCATACAGGTACGGACGAAAAGTTATTACTCTTAAAAACAGTTAAAATACATGTAAATGGCGCCCACTACATGTAGAAGTCATATTGACATCAAAATCAAATTTCTCATGCCAAAAAACTCCCAGACACCAATTTTCATCTAAATATTGACATTACTTCAGAAATTATTTGGAAAAAATCGAAATAAAAATGAAACTTTTACACTATGTATCTCCGAAAGTAAGCATTTTAGGACATACATTTATACGAACTTATTTAATTATTTTTATCTGCAGAATATGCTGCCGAAGTTTCCGGAATACAGTTCGGACCACCCTGTATAGCCAAAACAATTATCACGTCTTTGAGTAAGTCAAATTTAAATTGAATTTACAAGATAGCAATAATTACTTTGAGAATGGACGCTTTAAAGACTTTTCGGTATTTTTTCAATGAGAGCGATTTAAATTTTGAAAGATTTTAAAATTTTTGAAGATTCTAACCTTGACAAGAGAAAATTATTTCTGTTATTATCTTGTTTGTGGTTGTTCTTAGCAACTGCTATAGCAGCACCAGATCGCGTACAACGGTCGCGACCCAAAACAATTATTTATTTCCTTTATCTATGGTTACCACAACGTTGCCACGTCAAATATCAAAACAAAAAGAGCTCTAGGTATTTCTACCGTTCATCGTCACAACAATAATTAAATTATTTTAACCTTGCTCATCTTTAGTACGTACCGTCATGATTCTTGGTTAACTCGTCGTGAACCACCAATTCTATAAAATTATATCCCATCTGTTCAGAGAAGTGTTTCCCCCTGGATATTATAGTCAGATAGTGTATGCGGTCCTTTTCAAACTTATCTTGGTCGATGGCAAACGGTTTCAATCGGCCGTACTTCTTTTCGATGGCTTCGGCGATTTTCTGCAGAATCAATTGCCAGTTGCGTTTGTACTGCTTCGTCATATACGGAGCCAGAGCACGAAAACAAGTTGGAAAATGTTTTTGCAGATACTGAAACAATACCAAAAATGACAACACAAAAACCATGGGTGTAGAGGTTCGATAACAAGGGATTTTCCGAAATTCCAGTTCCAAGGGGGCGAAACCACCACTCAAATATTACAATATTTTCAATTTAACAAACGGTCAAGTTCCCGAACAAACGCTTAAACAAGTATATTTTATTTTGTTTTTTACATATTTTAAGATTTTTTAAAAATGTGTACAGGGTGTTTCGAAAAATCTGGTCATTGATTAATCACGATCCTGCTTAAAGCGCCTGACGTAAAAGGCTGATTTTTGGAAAACAGATTGACTTTAGGGTGTAGAGGTTCGACAAGAAGCGATTTTTCGAAACTCGAATTCTAAGGGGGTGAAAACACCCCTCAAATATTAGAATATTTTTTATTTAAAAACGGTGAGTTTTTCGGAAAAACTCTAAACACGTATATTTTATTTTGTTGTTTAACATATTTTAAGATTTTTCAAAAAAATTATACAGGGTGTTTCATAAAATATGACCATTGAGTAATCACGATTCTGCTTAAACTGCTTGACGTTTAAAGCTGATTTTTGGCAAACGGATTGACTGTGGGGTGTAGAGGTTCGGTATGGAGGGGTTTCTCGAATCTCAAATTCCAAGAGGGTGAAAACGCCCCTCAAATATTACAATATTTCTTATTTAAAAAACGGTTAGTCTTTCGGGACACGCATAAATTATTTTGTTTTTTACATATTTTGAATTTTTTTAAAAAATCATACAGTTTGTTCCAAAAAGTTGGATAATTGATTAACCACGATTCTGCTTAAACTGCTTGACGTAAAAAGCTTATTTTTGGCAAACGGATTTTTCGAAAGTCAAATGCCAACGAGATGAAACTACCCCTCAAATATTACCAAGTTATATAATAATATCGCCATATTGTTTTTTCTCATCCTGACATAAATGTGAGAAAATTTTATCCAGTCTGTATGTTAATGGAAATTCTTGCTTTGCTTTATCATCACCATTACAAATGATTAATTCGACGCGAACGAAGTCACGCTAATTGAAACTATAAAACACTCAGGTACCAGATTTGTGTTATATAACACTGTTTCGGGTAGTAAAATTTAAGTGAAAAAGAACACAAATTGAGCGTCGCGTTGTGTTGTGACAATTTCAAATGTTAAAAAAATTGCCGAGAAAATATTAACACGTAAAGGAGAGCGTAATTACGTGATTGTTCACAATACACAATATTCCCGGAACAATTTTTTCGTGTATTTGCTATTTAAACCCGTGTATTTATTTAGTCCGCTATTTACGGTATTCTCCGATGGTGGCAGTACCGGCGGAGAACGCACCTGGCATATAGATTAAGGGGCATTTACGTAAATTTTATTGCAATGCATCATATAGCATCAAGGCAACAGAAGCTCTGTGGTATGGACGGTAGTCGGAGGTTGCTCAAGTTGCAAAAACGTTACAACAATTACAAGAAATGTTGAACACATATACCTGGGGATACGACGCTTTGGGCCTTAAGCTAAACATCGACAAAAGCAAAATCATTTGCACTCCCGGAAGATCACAACAACGCTATAAAAATCGGAGAATTATTGGAATATGTAGCGGAATTCAACTACCTCGGCAATTTGATTTCGGAAAATGCCAATATCGACTCTGAAATTCAGCATAGGATTAGCAGCGCCTCAAGAGCATTCTGGAAATTAAAAGACGGTTTTCTACAATCATGACTTGGGTACAAAAACGAAACTTGCAGTGTACCGAGCAATTGTAATCCCCACCATGTAATATGGGAGACACCTTAGACAACTCTTAAGAATCCGATGGTTCCATCATGTCTCAAACGCATCGGTCCTTGAAAAAGCTAACTGCGAGAATATTGAAGTCATGGTTACAAAATTCCGCTTAAGATGGGCTGGTCACCTATGCCGAATGCAAGAAAACCGCATACCAAAATCTCTGTTTTACAGTGAGCTTGTAGACGGTAAGAGGAGGCCGGGTGGACAACTCAAAAGGTACAAGAATATTTTCCACGAAAACTTAAAGGGGATTAATATGCAGAATGAGTGGGAAGACGCAGCTCACAATAGAACTCGATGAAGAGGAATTGTGAACTCAGTGAACAGCGACAACCAAAGAGTAAAGAGGCAACAAAGCAATGAGATTTTTGAATGTCCGGAGTGCGGTAGGCAGATAACATCGCGTATCGGGCTTTTCAGTCACAGAAAAGCTCATGAAAGAAAACGCCTTGTGTGACCATCTTCTGATGCGTGTCAAATACTCGTTAGCGAGTAATGGTAGTAGTAGTAATAGGTCGGAGGTTCTACTCTGATATTGTGGAGATGAAACAGGGAGTACCACAGGATCTATTCTTGGACCCATATTTTTTTTGTTACATGAGAATGGTCTGTCTGTAGAGCCTGTCTGTGCATAAAATTATTGTTGATTCAAGAAAAAGTTATTTTTTGCAAACCAGTATAATTACAGAAAA